ATGATGGTTAAAAAAGTGACTTATTTCGGGGAACTTGGCTATCTGAACAGTTCATGTCTTAGAAAAAGTATTATTTTAATGTTTTAGAGTTCCTTGAAAGAAATAACTTCCCGGCAAAAAGAATAACCCCACGGCAAAAGTAAAAGACTCACGGCAAAAGAAATAACCCCATGGCAACCTCACCGTGAGTCTCTTTGTCCTTTTTCTTTTGTCGGGAGGTTTATCTATTTGCTGTGAGTCTTTTACTTTTACCGTGAAGTTATTTCTTTTGCCGTGAGGTTATTCTTTTTGCTCTGAGGTTATTCTTTTCACCGTGAGGTTATTTCTTTTTGCTCTGAGGTTATTCTTTTCACCGTGAGGTGACTTCTTTTGCTGTGAGTCTGTATTCTTTTTGCTGTGAAGTTATTTCTTTTGCCATGAGGTTATTCTTTTTGACCAAACAGAAGTAAAGCAAATTTCTGCGAAATCACGCAGCGTAACAAAAATGGGTTATGACTGAAACTATCAATTTGGTGGACACTTAGAATACAAAATGGCGGCTTGACTACACAGCACGACACGGAGAAACGTCTTTCTTAATTTGGCTCATTTTTTACCGCAATTTTAACCTTCAAATGGATAAAAATTTCAATTTCATTTAATTTTATGTTTTTTTTCATGATCCGAGACGATCTGAGTCGATCCAAGTTGATCTGAGATGATCCGACCCGGACTGGCGGTCCTAGTTGATCCGGTCCGACTTTTGTACCTGCCTGAGTGATACTAACAACTAAAAACATGTCATCACGATCGTATTTATAAATGGGACGATTATAACATCAGCTAGGCAAATAGAGATAATCTTGTAAGCATATATACACTTTAATTATATCATGGAGCGAAGTAACTTCTGTATGGAGCGAAGTGACTTTTGGTTGGGGCGAAATGACTGGGGGCGAAATGACCATGGGGCGAAATGACCGGATACCTTCACATTACTGCTATGCATTGATTGTTTACACCGCCATGTTAAGCTTGCGGCAATGGACGAACAAAATCGTAGATTTTAGATAAAAACAGGAACAGCATTTGATTTCTGATAAAAACCTTCACACAAAGATCCTCTCTCAAGCGGAGGTGTGATAAGATACGAGTAACTCTTAGTAAATAATAGAAAATAAAGCTGGAGATTGTTCCACAACAAAGAAAAGACTGAATACAATCCCTAGCTATTTTCTTGCACAACTGCGCTGTCGCGACCACTACACCCTAAACACTGATACAAGATGAATTCGTCTACAACAAAGAACATATTTAACCACTTCTTACTTACCATATCGATTAGAATACTCCAAAAATTTGACGGAAGAGTCTTCTCACTAACATGTGAAAATGAAACTGCAGTGTTGGCTCTTCGTCCGAGTTCTTGTTTCCATATAAGGACAATCCTTCGGAGACGAAAAGGAAGCTGGGGCTAGTAAAATTCAACCAATCAAACGCGTCGTAAGAAAAAAGGCGAAGTTTTGAAATTTGAAGTCACGATCAAGTGTTCGTGAAGATGGTGTTTGAGGTAGTTTATTCGATTTTTTCCCTTTGGTTTGCCTTTATTTAGCTAAAAAATGGTAGCATTCAATAATTCACTCAATTATTTCATTACTTCAGCGTTCCCCAGTACGAAGAAACGATTTTGACAGCTCAGATGATGAAGAAACTGATGTTGTTGAAAATCTAACACCTTTCCAAGTAGACTGGTAATAGAAATTTTTAAACATGTTTATATGTTACCTTTGCTCAGCCACAATTAATTTGCTTTCCCCAGAATATTTACATGTTATAAGTTGGCAATATAACAGGGGTAAAAGTTTATATCAAAATAATCTTTTGTGCATTATTTTAAGGTAATCTAATATGTATTAAGTAATCTGATAATAATTGATCCGCTAAGATTAGCCCAATGCTGCCAGCGGATCAGTTTTACACTTGTATTATATGTAATTTCTAAATGTAATACGTGTGTATTTCTAGTTTGGTAGAATAGATTTAGGGATAAATTTGGTAAACAAGTTAATTCTCAGTAAATTATAGCAAAGATATCAATGACGTCACCTGTTACTAACTATTGGTTGGTGAAACAAATAATTCTTTTGTTTAACAATTTGAACATTTAAATAACAAAAACAATGTTTTTAAACAAATATCTTCCCTATATTCCTAATAAGCGCACAATTTATGGTGCGCAGGAGTTTTTTAAAATCAGCCAATATTTTGGCCCAGTTTTAAATAAGCTTATGTGGTGTTTCTGAACAGCTGAAGATGCCTATCTCAGGAATTTCAATGGTATAAGTTGTTTTTCCTGACCTTGATCCATGGAACATTTGAAAACAATTTTAAGCATGTAATAAATCTCTTATTAGAAATTAAACAGGCTTTAGCTTGCGTGAGCCCATGCTAGGAGAACATCAGCCCTTAGACTTTTTTGTATGAACCTGCAGCTTATATCTTGTCAGTATTGCCCTTGTGTTTGCTCAAGAAAAAGGTATATTTATCTTCACTTAGAAGAACCCAAACCATTTGTTCCTGAGTGAGGAACTGCCTAGAATCTCTCTCCTACTTCTGGGTTAATACGCCTCCCAGAAAATTCCATACTGTAATATTTTTACTGTGAAACAGCATTGATCACTAATTAAATCTTAATTCATGCAATTTAAGGGTTGACCTTTCATTCACTGGATGCTGTGCAGAGGTTGTTTGCATCAGTGGGTTACCAGGTAAAGTAAATACTTTTTTATGGAAATTTTACCTAGTTTTAAATTATTATGAGAGTTTATTATAGATGATAAATTCTTCGGATGAACTTGTAAAATGTACAAATATTTATTATTATTATTATTATTACTATTATTATTATTATTATTATTATTATTATTGTGCAGACCGAGGGGACATTGATTGAGGTTTGCAAGAAAACCAAGCCATTCACCATTTGTTTTGATTTTGGCTTAATTACTGTTGAATATTTTGTTGGCCTTTAGGATGCAAATATAAAGATACCAACAGGAATTTAAGTGTAGACATAGGTAAGATTATCATTTTTACATGTCAGAAGATTAATAGAATTATGTTTGCTTGATAAAAAAACCTGGCCTTATACACAATGGGGATAGTATGTGGTAGCTTTATGTAAGTAAGAATAAAAGCAGTGATGACATGTCAAATGCCAGTCTGGTTAGACTGTTCGTGAGTAACATGATCAAAATGCATGTTGCTTTTATTGTTTGTTCTTTGCAGCTCACCTCAAGGCCATCAACATTACAGATGTGTTTGTGTTCTGTTCTAATCGTGAGATGGTCAGGTAATTTGATCATATCTATGTAATAATTTTATTTGTGGACTGAAATGGATGTTACGCGTATGGGAAATATAGGCCTTTTGCATTAGTTGCTTACATGACTGATAATTTCTTAAGTTTTAGCTACAGCTAAATGAATTTCAGAACTGGAACAAGCGTGTTTTAAATGGCTAGTGAGAGCAAGGAATCTTTTTCTTCTACAAATCCTTCTAATCCTTCCATAGAAAATCCCTCTTTTTGCATGTAAGTTTGTAAATCTTCTTTTCATTTCTGATAACATTTTTGGTGCATTACCAATGACTAGATCAGTGTGTTCTTGAAAAGTGCATCACATGACCAAAAAGGCCTATTTCTGAGAAAGTTGTTATTCAGACACTTACATGTAGTCACAATGAGACTGTCTCAAGCTACTCTAAAGATAGTTTCTAAGTTCTCTCAATAGGAGTCAAAGTTATGACTCTCATAGGCCAGGGTGATGGTCACTCACCTCTTGGCTCCAGCTAAGTATCTGTCTTCAACTGGTGTGCATGTTAAGCCACACATGTAGGCCTAATACTTTTTCAGGAGGATTCAGAGAAGAGTGGTTAAACAACATAAAACCTCAACATGAATTGGATAGTCTAATGTTCAATTCTTCCTTCATGAGAAAGATGCCAAGCTTCTTTTGGAAAAATTTTGTATTAATGATCCAGTTGAACAGAGGTTGGTTTGTAGTGTTTTGGAATGCTTGTCACTTGCATGCAAAATTTCAAAGCTATAATGATTGACGAATGCTAAATGATGGATCTTGGAAAAGCTAACAATGTCATCAGTATGGAATTTTTTTGGGTTGATTCTAAGACATCTCGTGTGGGAGAAGAATCGAATACACGGGCTTATTGTCATTTGCCAGTGATAGAACATTTGTTCAACACACTTGCAATTGATTTGTGTGGTGTATGTGTACCTCAATCGTCTTTCCAGGTGTAGAGTCCCTTATCTTGTTGACGAGTACAGCTGTGCTGGATTTAAAGTTCATCATTTCCCAGTTGAAGAAGGAAATGTTCCTACCATGGCTGATTGCAGTGATATGATTGAACAGTTGAGACAATGTATCAGCTTTGGACACAGGATACTTTTACAGTGAGTATGGCGGTAAATACCTATTCGTGCCAGAGAGCCGATCTCATCGGCCCATTGATTTAACAAGTAATTTGAATGGATACGATCATCCCAAAAGCTTCAAGATGAATTCGCTCGCAAAAAGCTAGTCAGATGAATGCAGAGCAGAGAGCAGTGATATTATTTCAGAAGCAGATGTTTTAAGTGAAGATGAAAGTGTAGAACCTGTTGATTCACATGGGTTGTCAGATGAAGAAATCAGTGCACTTTGGACAAGAATTTGCCCTCCATAACCAGATGGTCAAGTGGAAAACAACTTCAGTGTTCGAAATCCTGATGTCCAGAACATGTTTTCGCAAATGAAGAGATTTAGGTGCATACAAGTAATTAGCGTATGAAACTCCCTAAATCGACCCTAAACGTACAGCTATACAGTAGAACAAAACAAGTGATGCACTGAATCGCTACGTACATCACAAGTCTCGACAGTCTCTGAGCTTATACGATGTAAAGTAGAAAACATGTTCTATAATTATATCTTTTGTTAGACTAAATCTGAATATGAGCACCAAACCAGGGCTTATTTTCAGACGGAATTTTGCATCTGAGATTTTGGGGGTGGAGTGTTACTTTGAGGAGGGCTTATAGTAATATTTTGAATTCTAATGATAGTTAGTTTTTGTTTCAGTTGTGTTTCTGGCTTAGGAATTTCTTGTGTAGGTGAGTGTTTCAGATATCGTTGAATACCGTAAGTACTAGAAGAATCTAATTCCACACATGTAAAGACTAGAAATGCCAACACGTTCCATTGTATACCGCGCAATGCCCAATGCAATGCAATGCAATTATTTTTTTTCCGCCACAACGCGCCTCCGGTTTCTTTTTCGTGTCTGACAAAACGCCCAGTTTTTTCCCGCCAAAATATTAGCGCGTCTGTCAGTACTTCGATTTTTTTCCGCCGAGAAACCATTAATATGCAATAAAATAGTTTTGTCATCAAAGTTATTATCAAGCTATTATCAATTTAAGTACATGTTCTCTGCTCTTTTATATGATAAGACTTTATTTTTTTTATCAGCTGCAGCAATCCTACTGCTAACCCTGGATGAACTTGTGACTCCCGATCACGTCATTTCCAAGCTGCGCCAAATCAGAGGTCAGCGGGCATTCCAGACAGTGAAGGTACGTGCTGTTTCTCAATTTCATCCATTCAATGTGCAATCTCGTTCCCAGAGCCCTCGTGTCTTTTGGACAGCGCCAAGACACGGAGCTCTGGAATAATCAATTTCCAGACTCCAAGAATTTAGGAGTTCCAGTTTCACGGCGCATGCGTGCCTTGGTTTAAAACATGGCAATCTCAATCCCAGAGCCCACGTGTCTTTTGGTCAGCGCCCGACCAAAAGACACGTGGGCTCTGGGAACGAGATTGCTATGTTTTAAACCAAGGCACGCATGCGCCGTGAAACCGGAACTCCTAAAATCTTGGAGTCTGGAAATTGATTATTCAAGAGCTCCGTGTCTTAGCGCTGAACAAAAGACACGTGGGCTCTGGGAACGAGATTGTTCAAGGTGGAGCAAGTATCCGTCTTAACCAATCAGATAAAAGCGGAAGCCGGTCGTGGTTTGTGTCTCGTAGTCTGTCTCGTAATGTTCCCGGCGCCATTGAGGGTTATATGATTCAACTGTACAGCGGTCATCTAAATTTCGCCACCCGTTAACTGACAGAGAAAATTTTAAACTGCTGTCAATCAAAACAATGATCGTCGTGGGGTTTAAATTCTCGGGAATTTCCCGTGTGATGACCAAAATCCACGACGTCATTCGGCAATGCTATCCGCAAACTTAATGGTTTACGCAATTTTAAAATCGCGTTAAGTTCAAGTTACAGAGGAAGGTGGAGGGCTTTGAGCTACACACTAGTGAGTTAAATTCTAACTAGAGTCTAGTTTTACAACTAAAATCTCAGAGAACCGCGATCACTGTTCATTTTTTTTCATTTTCTTTTCCAGCAATATAACTTTATTTACGAGTTCCGTGACTTATACAAAGCTCACCTGGAAAATCAACGAAATTCTGTGGAAGCTACGCCAAGATCGCTTTCAAGATGAAGTACAGAAAAATAATTATTTGTACAGACTCATTTGATATGTTGTGTTAATAGGAATTGTTTAAATTATTATTCTTGAATGTTAATATTGATTGTATAACAAATATCACTAGACTAGGATATGAAATGTTTGTAACTAACCACTGAAAAGGAATAATTTTTACAGTTCGTTATCATTAATTATAACCCACATAATTGTTAATTATCCATGTAATGTTCGTTAGTTAGGGAGTACCATGAGTTTGTCATGTTACAAATGTTTGACATTATGAATTATCGCAGCCATATTTTTCGTGTTTCCAACACAAACCCCTCGATTTATTGGATATGATCGCAAGATTGAAGAGAACGAGAGAAATAAACAGGAAACTTAGCGTTGTGTGAAAACAATATCGGTGAAATGTTATAACTTAATATACGTTTGGGTCAAATGGGGATCACATCGTTACCCGATATAAATTATCCATGAAGTTCCATGCTGGTGAAAAAAAAAAAAAATGTCAATAAATTTGTCTCTGTGGTTTTTAACTCGTGGATTACGTAAGCAAGCTTACGGGTTGTAGTGGGGGATCAGACTGTCAGTGAGGGGTTCGTCCATCATCTGTTAACTTTTCGCAATTCTGCTGTTTTGAGGGCGCATATATAGTTTGACATCTCGAGGACAACGTGTTTCGTTCGGCCGTGTGTCACGCAACGGTGAATTAGATGCTGCGAAGGAGACTAGGAAAGGGTCAAGGTAAGTCACCAAAAAGTTGGCTTATGTATCTGTCAATATTGTCTTACATCGCTGGCAAGCAGTTTTTAAATAACCTTTCTTCTGTGGGCATGAAGTCCAGAGAAATGATCTTTGAGAAAGTTTACTGTCAGAATAATTCTTTTCGGTTAAAAAGCTTTGATTAATGCTTATTATAAACTTTGCTCTAAAGCACTGGTTTTCTTTATGAAAAGAGTAATTCCATTTTACGCAAAGGTTAACTCGGATCAATTATTATTCATTACAGAATTCACGTGTTTGCTCATAGAACACTTTGATTACATCTTATTGCTGCCCAGGCAACCTCCTATTTTCGTCCTGATATCTAGACTTCGGGTTATCTGTTTGTTAGCAGTTCCCAGGCCCCACTGCGTAGAAAGTCTGCGATTGGCGAATTGGTGGACAGACTTGAATCTGCGACCTCGTGCTTTGACCGTTCGTTGAGTACATTCGTTGACGGCAAGGGAAGCGTTCGAAGGGAGTATATTCGTTGATGCAAAGGGAAGCGTTCGAAGAGTTTGATTATTTTGAAGTAGTTTTTCTCCTAAAACAGCGACGATAACCCGCCATTTCGTTCGTGGCGAATTTTTGACGTGCAGGCGGTCCAACCTACTATAGGCGAAGAGCCTGCAAACTACTTCATCGTCGATGTTGCGGATGTCCCACAAGAACGCAGCGACGAATTATACCGAGATTCTACGGAAAACCCTTGTTAAATGAAGAACTGATACCTGTCAACAAGTAATAGAAACAGATCAGGCATATGTGACAGTTGGCGGGCATAATGATTTTAAAATAAGTTTAATCTATTAAAGAGTTTAAACTGCGGGTGAGACTTTGAAGTGCTTTTCGTTTCACTGTTGTTCATACACTGGAAAGGCTGTATTAATTTGTTAATTTTTCTGCATCCTGTCAGATGGCATGTATTTTCCTCTTTCACTGTCTTGCTCATTCCTCTTGGTGGCATCTGAAGTATACCAACTTTAGACGCCCCGGTAGAGCTAGGTGTAGTGGCTTCATGGTTAGAGCGCTTGTATCTCCCCCTCCCCCCCAGCCCCCTACCATCTTTCTACATGGGCAGGAGCTCATGACATGGTGCAGCACGTCACTTCCAACATGGAACCTCTAGTTTTCTTAGTTTTGCTTCCCTAGATTCTACCTCGTGCCCAGTCTGCAGCACCACGTTCGCTTTGGGAGGGCAAGGGACTAAGGAGGGCGTCTCTGGGTCGTTACGCATTCCACGAAGCCTCGCCGTCATCCTCGTAGTCAGGCCGAAAATCCTCAGAAGCATCCAGACCGTCCAGTCACGGGACGGCTTCGGAATTTTATGCTTTGTCTTCACCAACCACAATCTCCAGTTTGAAGAAAGGAAAATGCATTAGGCAGAGAGTTAAGTTTCTTTGCCTCTACAGTTATGCCGATATCTTTTTGCGTGATTTCTGGATTGTTTTTCAGTTATCTTTCACCATTTCTTCAGCTTTCCCTCTCAACTCGCCGGCACTGCTGAATGCGTCAGAAACTTCTCATCGTTTGCCAATTACATCATAACAAAGTCAATAAACGAGAAAAGAAACGATTGCGCCAGAGTTTCCATTCAGTTTGCCTCACTAGCTACAGGGAGGCTGGTTAAGTTTCTGAAATGGGATCATTTAGCTCGAAGGTACGTACACCACACGATGGTAAAGAACATTGCGAGGCCACCGAAGTTGAAGTGGATGCGACTGGAATGGCAGAAAGCTCGGTTGGTCGGCCCAACGAAACATCGAATGAAGACAGTTCAGAGGTGGCGTCCACAAGTGAAGAACAGCATTCTCCGCCGAAATTCCGCCAGTCATTTTCTTGGCTGGTGGACACGCCAGTCGTTCTGACCACCGGCACTGGAAAAGAACAGAAATCAAAAGGGAAAAGATGCGGCGATGGAAAAGAAAAGACGAGCAGCAACATGCTGAAATACACCAATGGAAAATATCTAAAATCCTGCCAGCACCTCACGGAGATGCCGCCATCAGACCTGAAACGACCGATCACAGACGCTGCACAGAGTTCGTCGTCAGCGTCGTGCAGTAAACACGTCAGGTATTCTAGGTGTGATGCTAAGCATGAAGCAAGTAAGAGTGGGGTGAAATTAAACCAGAAAAGCCTTGGTAAAAGAGATGTCATTCCATCGGCGAGTGGTTTTCGTGTTGGCTTTGGTGCGGACGGAACTGAGCAGATTTGTCAAAGCCAGACTCGGCAAACATCATACAAAGGGAATATTTAAACTCATGGCATGGGACTCAGTGGAAACAAAAAGACATTAATAACCCATTTGGGACATGACTTTCAGTGTAGTTTATTTCGCGTGTAAGGTAATTTGTTTCGATGGCTGCAAATGTTCACAGGCTAGCACTATTGATTTTTAACGAGATTTCTGACGTAGTGAAATTGAGTGGTTTATAATTCTCCTGTTACGATCATGAAAAAGATTTTTTTCCATGTAGTGATAATCAATTCATCATTGTCCTGTTTCGTTCAAATTTGTTTTTAACATTGTCGTGTTTCGCTAATAAATTTGTTAAGACCTTGATATAATTCAGTGTAATTCTTATAGTTAGCACAGCTCTGTTGTTTTGGTTAATTAAATATCTCCAGGTGCAGGTTCCAGTGTACAAAACGAAGTAGATAAATAGCGCATCAAAACCACACACACAGAAAAACCAGCGTTAGTCCTACATTTATAGGTTTGCGAGTGCGGCACGAGGTGTAATCTTTGGAAAAACGATGAGCAGAATGAATTGTAAATGTTTTAACGAACTTGAAAAAGAAAATTAAGTACGTCGATTTAGTGCAAATGGAGCGATGTTCATAAAAGCGAATAAAGAGCGTCGGCTGGGATTTTAATAAGACGAACAGCGTTTTCTTTGATGGTGTCGGGAAGTTTTAAGATTACCCAAAACAGTACATTTTCATTAATTCCGTAGCGAAAAAAAAACACCACATTTCTGCTACTGAAAGCGAAAAGTCTATTATTTTACATCTACTCCGATATATCTCAATTTTGAAAAAAAAAAATTAACCCGTGATCCTGATTAGCTCGAGTTGAAATTAATAGGAATCAAATAATCTGTTTATTTGAAAACGATAAATTTCTTGAAATCGAGTCGAATCGAAGATTTCAGAAACGGAAGGAATGCAAATTGAAAGTTGTGGTAATTTTCCGTTAAATCAATTACGCGGTCATTAACTCGATGACGTCAAACGACAGCAAGTAAAATACTGAATATTGTCGCACACTTGATATGATAAGCACTGGGATATGAGGTTGGTTTTGGTACAGGAAGAGTGATTTTCAGAGGTGCAGCCAGGATTTTTCCTAGGGGTCAGCCCAAATACGAATTCGGTAAATGTTGCGCAACACATTGATTTGTACCAGAGAGGCAAAGGAGAGAGAGAGCCTGGGATCGAGGTTGAATTTATACGTGTCTTGATATTGTTCTTGTTTCTCCCTTTGCTGTTATTCGTTTCAAATTTATTAATGGCGGATGAAAGTTCCTGTTACAACTACAACAGTTCGTTTCTCTTATCATTCAAAATCTCTACAAATAACAAGCGGCGTGGTTGCTGTGTAGCAAAGACATCAGTGATAGCATTCTCTTTCGTTATTCATTGTATTGCGCAAGTATGTTTTCAGTCGCTTCACAGAGCTGAAGGACCGCTCGCTTTCAACTGAGCCTGCTGGTAATGTGCAAAGGATTGCCAACACCATGTTTATGTTAGGGATTTACACGGCATCACAGCTTCCTTGAGCTCCCAATATGTTTGTAGGGAGGAAGGTTTTTTCAACTTTCACCCGCATATTGCGCATCAATTGCCTCGGGCGAAACTTTGTCGCTCTCACAGAACTTAACTGCTTCAGCGATGTCGCTGTGATCTGTGACAAGCAAATGAACTTGCATACAGGGATCACGCACCGGGGAGGTGCTTACGTTTACGTGAGCTCTTCCGCTACTCCGGTTCAATAGATTTCAGTAGATCTCTTCTGGTTAATGCTAATGCTGAGGGGGGTGGGGGGGGGGGGCGCAATCACGGAACAAACGATGTTTACGTGTCGCACCAGGAAAAGGTTAGGAGAACCCACTGGGAAACCAAGAAAGAACGCACGTGTTACGTATGTTACAACGTACCGGGAAGGGTCAGGAAAAACATAAAACGGGAGAAAATGTACGTGGCATGAACAGGAAACTTGCTGAATAATGTACAATTAAATTTACCATTGGCCGCTTAGGAAAAGCACGGTGTCATATACAAGGAAGGCACGGCGAGTATTGCAGGGACTTATCAGGGAACCATTAAGGAATTGATTGGACAAGAGAAGGAAACATGAACTGAAAACATGAGGGAAAGCCTGCAAAACGTACGGGGAACGGATTGGAAACCGATATGAATTGCGCTATTCCCACAATGAATGCACGGAGTATCGGACGGGAAAAGGCATTGGGGAACCTACATTAAATGAACGGGAAATGTAAGGGGAATCTCACAGGGAACCCACGGTGTAACAAACGGGAAAACACATGGGTGGGAACCCACGGTGAATGTACAGGGAACGCAGAAGAGACCCCACTAGGAAACCTACCGAGGAGGGGGGGGGGGAGGG